AAGAGAAAATGACAAGTAAATATTAGGTTTCATTTCCACATCTTTAAAATCTTTCAAATAAGGTATAAGCATTTTATATTTAGTTCCTAACATATCTTAATTAAAATAGTGAGTATCTGTGGTTCAGGGCAATGTAACCCTTACATGTCTGCAAACCTTAGCATAACCCTTAAAACCTCAAACAGTCTCATCGCTACATTAGCAGAAATGAGTGCTCTTTCATATCAGGGGCTCTAGGACAACCTTGAGGCCATCAACACTAATGTAGTTGGGAAGGCGAGATCTTACATCCTCTGCATTTAGCACTGTGATGTACAGGAGCAAAAATATTGCTTTGTTTTAGCCTGAAGGACTGATTTGATAATCTTTTAAACACAAGAAATCCAGGGAAAGCCACACTCTTTATTTTGAGGCCTTAGACATCAAGGTGAGAAATCATCCCAGTTGTAAACAGCACTGTTTGGGAACTCTAGTGATATTATCATGAAACTCATGGTGGTATAAGTTTTTCACATTATGGGTAAATGCAATCACCACCTTAAGACACATCAATCAACCTCCCACCATTGCAGTGATAAGATTCTATTGATTTTTCCCTTCGAGATACAATCTCACAACCACACGAGTGGGTTGAAAGAAGAGTAACTTGTCAATCGAATGTGTTTCATAGCCGTGATATATTAATATAGTAACTCAAATCCACTCCAGCTATTCCACCATGGCAGCTATTTGACTGTGAAAGTTTACCGTATTTCAAATTCTTCAACAGAATCCATTCTACTATAGCAGGCAAATGTAAAATGACAGTATTGTGAACCCTTGATATTTGCTGTAGTTTGGTTTCAGGACTCCCTGTGGATACCAAAATCCTTTGATGCTCAAGTTATATTATATGCAGTGTCAAAACTGAGGCTTGCCTTTTGGATTTTTGAAAAATGTTTTCAAGCTCTGGATGGCTGAAACCAAAGATACAGAATCTGTGTATACAGAGTGCCAATTGTACCACTTGAACTCTTCAAATTATCTTTAACAACAACATAAACGATTTGCAAGGTGGGAGTATGGCAGGCAGAATATATCTTATAATGAATTATGTATGTCATTAAGTTCTTTTAATATAAGAATAAATTTAGAATTGACTTTCAAAACTCTGCAACTTGAAGCACTTCCTTGATAATCTGTGAACATTTGTTTGAAGAACTTTTTTTTTATAAAGTTGCCAAATAGTGACATAAACAGAAGCCCCAAGTGATTTAAATCCTTTATTTAAATTTAAGAACTTCTGAGAAGTTAAGGTTCTTCTGAGGAACATAATCAGACTGTGACCCTTTTTGTAAGATAACTTTGGTATTCTTTAGGTATCAAATGTTCTGCACTTATATTACAGGAACTGTGGCACAAGGAAGGAATTCCCAAATATACAGAGATATCCCAGGTTGAAAAACACAAACTACAACTTTACAGATTACAGCTGCAAAGATTGGCCTCAATGAGGGTCCAGATCAACCAAATGGTAATTACCACCAGTCTGCTTGTTGGGTAGCTTTGGAATGATAAGAATGAGATTTCATGTGGGTGGGTGGTAGCCACTGTGTGTTTTTCATCACCTGGGAGAGGGTGAAGCCATATGCCTCTACATCCCAAGGAACCTGCTGAAAATCCCCATTGTCTATCAGGGGTGGGCCTCATGCTAAAATCACCATTACAGGGGGCTGGAAAATCTGCCTACGTAGTTGCCACCACAAAACAACTAACACATTTGTATTTTGGATAAAGTGATGAATTAGAATATATTCCTTAACTGGAAATTGTTCTAAATTGTTCTAAATCTCTCTAGTTGTTGGCATTTTTAATTTCCAAGCCACTAAATATGAAGAACTGAACAGAAATTGCCTAAATATAAATGTCCACTAAAATATTTACATTGCAAGTATTCATTCATCTCCTGCCAAACACTTCATCAACCTTGTGAAAACTTTAATATAAACCCTAGAATTTCCCCCACAAGAATTAGTACAGAAATTTCTTATTCACTGAAGCAAGTTATATATCAACATAGAATTTGTTTCAGAATTGAGAGCTCTACAACAATATAAAATACTTTTAATGCATTTTTGAACTAGGTTTTATTTACAGATCACAGTGATTTTCATTGTGCAATGAAGACTGAATTATGCATTTGTACAGTACTTATACACATGTTAGAACTAGCAAGCATCTTCTCTGACATCCATCCAAGTGAACCTTAGAAAAAAACTTATCTGCTCAAATTGACTTTGTACATAGATTGAGCCATCTCTTATTGTACAACAGAATATTTATAAAGCTGTCATGTTTGCCATAGAAAAGTGTAAAACATAGTAAATCTGTACACAGTACAGTACAAAAGAATCATGCTACAGTTCTTGAAAGCTGGAAAAGTGTATAATAGAGGAAGCACTGAACTTTAATTTTCCTGCATGGCAAGACACTCAGCTTGAGATACTCTACCTCGTATTTTCTCTTCAAGATCTGTTTATCAGTTAAACACAGTTTAGTACCTATATTTTGATAGATTATAATTGCTTTTTTTACAGCTAATCACCTTCCTTAAATGAAAGCATAAGCTTTCATTTAAGCAAATTCACAAGATAATCAATTGTACCATTTAAAATACACCATATCAATTTTTTGGGATATAATATCATGCCAGTAATCCACAGTGTAACTTTTAAGAATATTATACCAAGGCCAAGAAGTGTGTTATTTTGGTTTCATCCATTCATTCATCCTGTCTCCCCCCGCCCACCTGATATGGGGAAAACATGTTCTGGTTGAAGCTTTTTTAAAGAATTTAAGTATTATAATGATTGCTCAAGAAAAGAAGAGAGAGAGGGTGTGGGTTTAAACAGAAATAAATCAATGGGAAACTAAATCTCTCTGAAACTGTTATGAAATTTAGATCCAACTCAAACTTTGCAAAGTGTTTGTGTTTATTTGGTATATCATTCTCTTTGCTTCCAAAATGTGCACTTGTATGATCTTTTGACAATTTGAAAACAAGTTGACTTCATAATAAACATAGATATATGGTTCATAGCAAATATCCATTTTCAAAGGAACAATTAGTATTTAATGCTAAATGCTTCCCATCTTAACAGAAGAATCAACAAATCATGTATTCATATCGAGTGCTTTGTATCGATTACATTAATATTTTTTAGGGCAGAATCACTAGTAACATTCTACAATGCAATGCCATGTGAGTCCGGGAAGAGGGCTGAAAGTCTCACTATGAATAAGGGTTAAAGTAACAAGTTAAAAAAAATTATCACAGTGCTGCTATAGTAAATGAACGCTGCTGAACCTTCCGAGCAGAGCTGAAGGGAAAATAGTTCTAAAAGGTAGTTGTTATTAAAACTCTGTTTTCAGAAGGTTGCAAATGTGACTATTATATAGTAAAGATTGATATAACTATAAAGTAATGTAACTATTAGTGACAAACATTAACTGGATTATTCCATTTTTAAATGTAATCAATTATTATTTTATTTTATTTTGTCTAACTGACCTAGGTGTTTCAGTATACCTATTGCTTATAAATAGAGGTGAAGCAAGTTAAAACTCCTTGTAGGACCAAAACAAACAAAAAGATTCATTATATAACTTGATCTAGGAAAATGCCATCCCTGTGTTAATTAGTGCTTGTCCATGACAGGGACTGTCATGGCAGGATGAGTAAAATCAGACAGCATTCAGACTATATTAATTTAAACTGAGCACCTACTAATTTTATTGGAATTTAAGTCAACTCATGACTGACTTGTTCCATCAGTATCAATAAGAGACAAGTCTAATTTATATTCTGGTTCCAACCTAGTGACTAATTAATTCCAATTCCTTCATTAATTCATCTCCCTCTCAGTTCTATTTCCAGTGAGGTACCTTTGTGCCTGAATCCTACTTTTGTTTTAACTTGAGCTGATCCACTAGATCTTAGAAACCTATTATTTTACTAAGTTACTTTTGATTAAATTGTATGATTTTTGGCATTATTGTTTGATACTTGATTTGGATCATTTGTGCACTTTGAACTGACATCTCTCAACAACTACTGCAGTGGTTCTCAACCTGTAGGTCCCCAGATGTTTTGGCCTTCAACTCCCAGAAATCCTAATAGCTGGTAAACTGGCTGGGATTTCTGGGAGTTGTAGGCCAAAACACCTGGGGACCCACAGCTTGAGACATACTGTAATATGTACCATTTACTAATTCAAAGGAATGATAAGTTTCTTCTGGAACTGAATTTACAGTACATAATTTACATGTTTTGTTTAACTTGTCAAATGCAAAGTACAACTTGGTGACACAACTTTTAAAAGAAATTAAAAATGAGCTTTTTGAAAAATTCCAAAGTGAGTATTTGAAGTCTTGGATTATTTCATGTCATTGTAGCACTTTTTAGAAAAATACAGAAAAAAACAAAAACAATCTCCTTTCAAACCCAAGCTCTCTAGCAAATGCATATTCCCATTCCAAACTGTTACATTCTACATTTGTACTGAAAGTTAACATTGAAAATGTTATACAGTTTGAGCATCACTTATCTGGAGTTTTGAAATCTGAAATCCAAAATTATCCACATAGGCAGCTTTTCAGAGGCACATTTGTTTTCTGACACATCTGTTTTCAAGTTCAATGTACACAAACTCTTTTTTGTATACAAAATTATTATGAAAGATTGCATAAAATTACCTTCAATGTATAAAGTACACTTTAAACAGAAATGAATTTTATATATTTAGACTTGGACCCCATCTCCAAGACATCTCATTATGTATATATATATGCAAATAAAGGTATTCCAAAAATCCTCCCCCTCTCCACACACACACACACACACACACACACACACACAATCAGAAACCCAAAACACTTCTAATCCTAAGCATTTTGGATAAGGGATACTCAACCTGTATTGTTGACAAAGTAATGAATAATAATTACAAAAAGTCCAGTCCTTAACTGCCAAATTATTCTATCTTTTTAATGAAATAAATATTTTTGTCAAACTGGCATTACCATTTCAAGACACCTGTTTTTCATAAATAGGATACGAATAACTTCAAACTCCTTGTAGGGCACCCTTCCCCATACATAGACAAAAGCAAAGAAGTGTAATTATATAACTTCACAATTGTAAATGGATCTGAGAAAATACCGATCTGTGATTTACATGGATTCCTGTACAAATTTCATGAACTCCTGTAATACATAGGATCTTAATATGTAGATCACATTTCAAAGCTGATTCAGATATCCATGTACCTGACATGAAGGGTTATATGGCTCATGGAAAATCTTGTAACAGAATTTTCACAGTGCTTCATCTGTGATGCTTATTTCACACATCAAGAAATTGCCTGAGATTGCTATTGTTTAATGATAGGCAAGCATGCACCCATTTGTGGCTTGGTTTATATTGGTATGATTTCTGACCTTTGACCCTCAAGACGTATCTCTAACCATGACTCAGACTGGCTTGAATTTCTGGGAATTGAAGAACATAACATTTTGGGGGTCATATATTGGCACCCACTGTCTTAAGCGACTATCAGATACCTGCAAGTGTGAGAAGTAAATATACATTCAGAGAACAGATCTTATCTTTATTCGCAACCAGCGGTGCATATAGGTGTATATATATATGAAATCTGGCTATGATTTCATATTATTTTGTTTTACAAATTTTACATTGTACGTAGTCACAAAGAATTTTGATGTGCAAACACATCATTTCAACTCAACCTTGTAAATAAAACATGATGCAGTGTAAGGAAAAAACAATTAAATTAAAACATATAACAAGGCCTTGTTTATCTTTCTTCTTTCAAGTAGTATGGCTGCAGGTGTTAAGCACTGAACATGCTACAATTTTCTCAATTTTATGTATATTCCTCTTTACAAAGAATTATAAAATGTATAGAAGATGCTGAAAAACCTATCATTTCAAGAAGCATTTTGAAAATTTTAATTTTTAGAAGCATTTTGAAAACATTTAAGAATAAAAACCATAGAATCTGTAAAGTACAAAATTTTACATTTCTGCACAGTTTCTGTGCTTTAGGTGTTCTGATTTCTTTATATACATATACTAATTTGTGCTTCAAAGGACAATCTTAATATAAACTTATAAAGTTACTCTATGAGACAACTATGCAAAAAAGATTTGGGCATAGCATGAAACATAAATTAAAACATTTCTTTTAAAAAAACTATTACAGTTTCAATGCCTTCACCTGAAATAGGTGCTTCAGTATTATTTTAATTTATTGAACTAATGCCAGATTTGTTTATCTAATTAAAAGTATTGTTCCTTCGCCAACAGTAAACTTTATTTCTTCAAAGACTATACATAATAAAGTAACATTTCTCATTCGTTTCAAATAAAAACGTCAATAATGTTTTCAGTCTTCTCTTCCAGTTTCCAGATATAGGATCCATCTTTTTCCAGTTTCTAGTAAATAAATAATAAAAAAGTGTTCAGCATTTTATTATTTCAGTTCAGCACACATCTGAATCTGCAAGTGCAGAAGTTCATAATTTCTGTAAGCAATATAATAACTCATATGTTAAAACAGAAGTCCATAGTTTAATGTGCTGTATTTGTATCTAATGAAATGTTTACAAGAAATATGTTTGCTTCTCTCTTCTCAATAGTCAATCATAGAATTTCAATCACAAAGCATTCCAAGGCATTTAACAAATCGAATAAAGCCATTCTCATGATGGATTTGATGATATACTAGATTAGGAATTCGGCAAAATAGTGGTAATGGAAGACAAATAGCCAGTACCTTATTAATGTCTGTCTCAAAATTAGAAGTTTTGGAAAATTTCTAAATCTTTAGGAGGTACAGGAGGTGTTTTGTTCCAGTCATCTTCAGGATAAGCTTCAAAATTTGATGTGTCACCATCACTTGATACTTTCGGCACTATAGGAGGCTGAATGAGAAAGGGAAATTAAACTTCAGTGAGGAAATGTAATATTCTGTCAAATGAATGTGAGTCTCTAACTTTTCAAATTTCTTCTGCTGGAAGTAGCTGAAGCTACTTATCTTGTGCATTTCCTTCTGCAGAATAACCGTCAGCTTATTCATGGGCTATAGCCAAAAAAAACAAAAAACCCAAAATAAAACAACAACCAAAAAACATAATTTTGCCCTGATATTTGCTCATGATTTCTACATGTGGTCAAATTATATACAAGTGTATATCATCTTCAAGTTGTGGAGCTGCTGATTGGGAGTCAGCTGCATGAAAATCACTACTGACTGAAAGGTCATGAGTTCGAAGCCAGCCCGGGTTGGAATAAGCTCCTGACCATCTGTCTAGCTTGCTGTCGACTTTTGCAGCCCAAAAGACAGTTGCATCTGTTAAAGTAGGAAATTTAGGTACCGCTTATGCGGGGAGGTTACTTTAACTAATTTACAACACCATAAAAATCTCCAGCAGCATGCAAAAGAATGAGGAGGTACTCTATTGGTATCACAAGTGGACAGTGAAGCAACAGCTCCCCCGGTGGTTGGAATTCAAACATACTCTCATGAAGCTGGAAAGTTAAATAGTCTCTGTGTGTCTATCTATATATGTGTGTCTGTGGCATTTTCTACTTTTCAAAGAGTTATGAATATTCCAAAAAGTATAAAATGAAATAGCATTCTTTCATTCCAAAGATTGATTTGTCTATGTGTACTTCACCTTTAATTTCCTTTGTGGTACAGCATCCCAGTCAACAGACCTAAACCACCGATGCCGCTTCACATCATCAGCTCCATTCTTTTGAAAAAATTAAAAATATGAATTTGAATTGAGAATGTATCAATATGTAATATAGCAAATACTCTTCAAATTCCCTAGTTTTAAATTGAAAACTTTTATTTTAAAAGTTTTGTAATCGTTTATGGTCTAACGTTGATTATGTTGCAAGCCACCCTGAGGTCTTTGGATAAAGAGCATAATATAAATACTTAAACAAGCAAACCAATATTTTGATATGCAGGCATACAAATACTTTTAATGACCCAACACCCGTAAGGGCTGAGAATGGCGGTCAATAAGTACATCAAATAAATAAATAAATAAACACTGTTTTAGCTGTAATTGTTATATCATTTTTATATATAAATAAACATTTTAAAAACAAAAATAATCAAACACTGACTGATGATTTTGTGAAACTTGATTGTGGACTAGTTTTTGATAGCTTATTGGTCTTCATAATTCTGATGATTTATTCCCATTCAAAAATAGATAAATGTAATCTGAAATTGTATCGCACTGAAATTTTACTGTATGATAGTCAGACGCCTGCCCCCCTTTTTGGGGATGGGAAGAGGTGTGTGACTATTATGTGGTTTAAAAATGTAGTTATGGGGCTTCCCTTGGCTGACTGCCCAGGGAGGCCCCATAGTGGCAAAAAGGACAGGTGTGTAGGAGAGTAAAACTTCACTCTCTTGCACACCTATCTCCTTCCCTTGGAGCTATGGGGTTTGCCTTGCTGAGCTACAGAGGATTGCCTTGCTTGGCAAGGCAAGTCTCCGTAGTTGCATAGAGGAGAGGCAAGCAAGCAGGTGAAATTACCAACTCAAGTGCCTGCCCCCTTTGCATAATAGTCACACCTGTGACCTAAGAGTGTGCCTATTATGCGAGGAATATTATTATACAGATTTTGCCATGCCCAAAAATGAGGGTGAGACTATTATGTGATGGTGATAGCTATGCAATGAAGTACAATATTTATGTGATTTCTGGAGGCAGTGGGTTGTGCTAGTGTTTACTGAAGAACATCAAAATAAAGAGAACAGATACCTGCAATCACCAAGTGCCAGTGTGTTTTTGTTCACTTATATTTCATATGAAGACAAAAGAAGTATATTGCACAATTCTTAGCTAACTGATATTTTCATGTGTCTCTCCTTTAAAAAAATGCTTCTTATACCCACTGAACACAGGGTGCTAAATTCAGTTTTACTCTGAACTAGAGTAGGTACAGTGAAAGGTCCATATAGGCCACTCATCTTCATGGATCTATTCCAGTTGTAATTGCTAGAGAATTTAGCCCAAAGAAATACCCTTTTGGAAAAATGTACCACTTGCACACATCCGTATGATTTTCTAGGCAACTGCCACAGCAATTGAAAAGGTAGTCAATTGAATACCGGAATTTTAACACTTTTTGTACTAATCTTTTTTGAGGATCAGGTTAAATTGGGTTATGAATAAAAACTGTGAGACAACATGTAAACACTGCTTACCTGTGAGAAAATATGTAATTCTATTTCTGTAACCAGGTAACAATTTTTTTCCAGAAATAACAATATGCTAGCTCTCAAGGTTATGATATATTGCAGTTGGACACACATAAACCCAAATAATAATCTTTTGTTTATGTTTAAACTGGAAGTATTACATTGCAAGATGCTTATCAGATGCAAAAAGTAATTTATCTGGGGATTAAATGAAGAGTCATGGAGCTTTCCCATAATGATAGCATAATTATAGCAAGAACTTCAAATATCCAGGTGTACAGAAATTTACTTATAATAAAAAATGAATGTTGTTACATTAACCACTGAATATACCCAGATTAAAAAGTTATTTTGAATATTTAAAACATACCTTCATATTCCCTAGCCGCCTCGTTCTATCAACCACAAGAAGCTTCTTAATAAGGTCCCTAGACAAACACAGGAACAAAATAAAGTATATTTTCATGTGGTTATCTTTTAACTTGAGAGAAATTGCAACTACAGGAAATGATTTCCAGTGTTTTTAATTTTGATATGGACATCAGGGGTCAGAAAAGTTTACAATAAATCTACTTTTCTATACTTTTGAGCAATGATGCAATGGAACAGTAACTATAAATTGAGTTCTAATGAAAAAATATAGAGAGGTAGGTAGGCCTTTGAGTAATAATTCTGCATGCACCTACTCAAATCTTTGCTATATCTTTGTTTTAATCAATTAAAACTGGAATAGAGCTCATCTAGAGTTACTTTTCAGAGATAAAATGTTGTCCGGTGTGCTACAACATTCTATTCAACCTTTCCAGAACTTTTCCATCCAAGCTACACACCAGGAGGAAGTACTTATGAATGTTCTAACCCACAAAATACATGTCCTGGAAACTCCCTGTAAAGTCTTCAAGTTTCCTTGGCTATACTCGAGGAAGCTCCCAACTCAACCGAAAATTAAGCACAAGACTTATATAAGGCCTCTTCCAAAGCCAAGACTGCAGGGCATACTATTTAACAGAGAATTGACAAAGGGTTTTTTTGTAGGGGGGGGGAACAACCTGTAGCCCTACAGATGTTTTTGTTTATCATTAACACAGTGGTAACACAGAAGGTCAAATGCCCTCTGTAGGTATATGGGCTGCCTGCCTGTTTACTTAGAAGATATTCACAACAAATAGCAGACACTTTGAAGGTACTGGAAGGTCACCAAGCGGGTAAAGCAACCAAAATCAAAATCAAAATTGAAAAGGAAAGCTAATACCTTTTTGCTACTGTTTGTCTGGCAGATGGTATTGATGAAGATTAACTATCTACTGTGCTTTCCTTACATGGTAGAAGGGGGTTGGACTGGATGGCTCCCTGGGATTCTTCTATTACTATTAATATTATTACAAAGGCTGGATGGATATCTGTTGGGGGTGCTTTGATTGTACTTTTTCTGCATGGCAGAAAGGGAGTGTACTGGATGGTCCCTGGGGTCTTCCACTGAAATACTATTTATGTTTATGTTGTTTAAGTTTGTCCATGCCTGACATATGTGCATTATACAATAATATAATATCTAATATATTGTATAAACATTTATTGGGGCTCCACAATAAACTTTTGCTTCAAAAAGGGCTCTATGGCGGAAAAAGTTTGCGAACCTGTGCTCTAAAGGCACCAGATCCCACCTGACTATAGAAGCTAAGAAAAGTCAGTCTTGGTTAGTGCTTGGATGAAAGACCATTAATTAATACTAGATGCTGTAAGCTATATTTAAAAGGAAGACACTGGCAAAAACACAAAGAAAATTTCATTAAACTTACCAAAAGCTGATAGGAAATTTGTAGACACATATACAACCACAAACCCTACACTTGTAAACAAACACCTATGAAGTTGTAAAGCACAGTTGGCATTTGTGACATCTTCCAGATGTTGTTGGACTGCAACTTTCAGCAGTGCTTATAGTGAGGAACACTGGGAAGTGGAGTCCAACAGCATCTGGAAAGTGACATAATCTCCATGTTTGCCAGAAACTAGTTCTACCACTTTGATTCAAAAAGCAACTTGTCTTCTTTTTGCATATTGTTTTCCCGGTGCATTACTGTTTTCACGATATACTAAATAGCAAACCTGGCTTTAGAAGATTTAAAACAGAAACCCAAATGAATTGCTTGTTGATGCCTTCTGCAGGCTTATTAAGTGAATTCTGACTGGAAGACCAAAAATCCCCTTCCAAAACAGGCATAAAACATTTTTATGCCTGTTTTTTTTTCCAAGATGTAATCCGTTTCATTACTTATACTTTGTAAATTCTTATGGAAACATTCACTGCACACTGAGAAAAAGGTATGCAGTTGAAAATCCTAAAAGCATATGCATTTGTGTCATATATCTTACATATCACATCTACAAAACCTTTACATAGTTCTCCCAGAACACAAATTCTACAGCCCTATCCCTCAGCTGTCTTTACCAGAGTCAAATACAAAATTAAATTGCTAGTGGGAGACAGCTGGTAAGAGATGGAGAAATTTCTTTCTTCTAAATTATTTAGAGAGTAAAGAGATTACAGAAATGAAACACCTTAGTACAGTATTAGGTTTTCATGAAGTCATGGCTTAAAGCAGATATCTAATTGTGACAGTATCTTACTTGAAATTTCTCGTTCTTTCCATTTTATACTGTCACTATGGTAAATATATCTCTGAATAAGTGAATATGCAAAGCTCTGCACAAATAAGTGTCCACTCTTTCTTTATAAATCTTAAAGCATACAGACAGAAAAAAATCTATCTGGTGTGTCTCCTTAACTTTCTCCTGAATCCATAACTATTCAGTGCTTATGCTACCAATAATAATGACTATATTTCAAATATGACTCCATCTATTGTGATTTATTTTATTTTATTTATCGTGCCAGGACGATAAACAAACAAACAAACAAAACACAGAGTTTGCAAGTTTAGTAGTTGATTAAATGTCCTTTGACCAGTAGCTGGCCACTTGGAGTGCCTCTGGTGTTGCTATAAGAAGGTCCTCCATTGTACATGTAGCAGGGCTCAGGTTGCATTGCAGAAGGTGGTCTGTAGTTTGCTCTTCTCCATACTCGCATGTTGTGGATTCCACTTTGTAGCCCCATTTCCTAAGGTTGGCTCTGCTTCTCGTGGTGCCAGAGCACAGTCTATTCAGCACCTTCCAAGTCGCCCAGTTTTCTGTGTGCCCGGGGGGGGGGGGGGGGGCGCACAATATAGCTATCACAATATCTATTATGATATTTGATATGCATTTTGCTTGCTACTTTAAAATAATGCTGTAGCATAACTTAAAGAAAGTGATATTAATACACTTACTTTACATATAAATCCAGATGTCTGGGAAAATCGATTTTGCCAGCAAGAATCTTCTGATATATTCCAAATGGGTTATCATCAAAAAATGGAGGAAACCTATAGCAGGAACATAAAACAGCATACAACAATATGCTTAGAAAATCAGAAAAATGTACAGAGAAATACATTATGAAGCATTAGCCTACGTAAAAAAAAACCCCTATGCTTACTATGAAGATATTAGGATTTTTTCTTACAGCTCTACAATAAATAAAGTCAAAATTGTTCCTTTCCAACATACGCATGTATTAATTATTGTACCCATTAGAAACTAGCAAACAGAACTAAAATTGTGTCCATAAGAAACTAGCAAACAGAACTAAAAACCATCATACTTCAAAACATTGGAATTAGATAGCCAGGATAAAACTAGATTCCATTCTATTATTCCTAAAGTTTAGGAAGCACTATATCAATTTCTGCAGGTAACATTTCTTGGTGTCTTGTTCCTTCATATGACAACTGTTCAAAATAAGTCTGAACGGATCATATTTAGATTCAGTTTGCTTTTGACCAGCTTTGCTTCGATTTGGGTATTCCAAATGGGTTATCATCAAATCTCTCTGAAGTGGCCTGAGTCGGGGATTTTGCTGACTTCAAAGCATGCCCTAACTTCATTTTCTCCATATACCTGTGGTGCCCACAATTCATGCACCACTTCCAACTGGAGATGATACTTTTAATAGCTCGTTGACCTTAACTAAGAAGGAGGATGTTAGGCCCTATGGTGTTCACATGATCTTTAAATTAGAATCCCTTTTATTTCGTGGTAGGTGCAACTTGAGAAACCGCAAGTCGCTTCTGGTGTGAGAGAATTGGCTGTCTGCAAGGACGTTGCCCAGGGGACACCCGGATGATTTGCTGTTTTTATCATCCTTATGGGAGGCTTCTCTCATGTCTCCATTTGAGGAGCTGGAGCTGATAGAGGGAGCTTATCCGCCTCTCCCTGGATTCGAACCTGCGACCCGTCGGTCTTCAGTCCTGCTGGCATAGGGGTTTAACCCACTGCGCCACCGAGGGCTCCAGAATCACATTAAAAAGCATACATTTCACCGGAATACAAAATTGAGTAGAATTTGACTGCTCTGTTTAAAAAGATATAAGGCACCAAATTTTATTAAAATTGGAATAGCAACCAAATAGGGAAAATTACTATGCTTTCAAATATAACTCTTCATTTCTACCTAAATATTCAGATGTGTTTTCTTTAAATGAGTTCTTCCAGTTCAGAGGAAACTGAATCCCGATAAGATTTAAAGATTTTTCTGTCACAGACTGCAACCAAGAAGGGGGAAGAACATAGATAATTTTGAGACTTTAATAAATCCTTCTGGTCTGTCTTTCCTTTAATTTATATTTTCCTTTGTCACACAAGTTTGGTATCAAGCTAGCACAGCTGGAACTGAAGTCTTAATTTTGTAATGTGTGCAGTCTGCAGATTGCAATAGGGAAACATATGAGGGAAAGCAGAAATGGAATTCCCTCTAACAGAAGCTTCTGTTAAACAAGGTTTCCAAATTCATTATACATGAGAAGGTTTGGTATGGGCTGAGAATGGCGGTTAATAAGTGCATCTAATAAATAATAAATAAATAAATAATTTGACACAGTTTTAAAAAAGGCTTTAGGTACAATATTCTTTGAAGTGTGTTTAGGCAGATAACATCTCCTTCCCTGAGTAAAAAATACTATTTACAAAAGTGTTTCTATTTTTAAAAATGTCCCTGTGCCCATGCCTCTTTCGTTGTTTTTTTTAAATAATGGTTTTCATAGGAAGATCTCTGCAGGAAGTACTTTGATAGCACTAGACCACATGTTGGTAAGTTTTGTTTTTATCGTTTTAAATAAAGATTTTCAGAAAATACAGAACATGTGACAAGAAAGCCATAACCACAGGGGATTTATTCTTACTTGTCTAAGCCCTCAATTTTAGGTCACTATATAATGCTTATGACTGTGACAGGATGCTAACTGGATACAATTCAACAGAGGTTACTATTAATATTTCAGAGGAGTTCTTTCTGTTAATAACTGATCAACCATTTTGTAATGTGTGCTGTCTGCTGATTGCAACAGGCCTCGCAACCTCTGAGGACGCTTGCCATAGATGCAGGCAAAATGTCAGGAGAGAATGCCTCTAGAACATGGCCATATAGTCCAAAAAAACCTACAACAACCCACTGATCAACCATTGTTTGCAACTGTGAGTGAAACAAACAAGCAGTTAAATTCCCATTTTGTTTGGTCTCTATCCAGGTGTTTAATTAATTCAGAACAAATCAGGGAGACCTGGAATCATTGTTTGGACACCTCTGGTAAAACCGTGACAGATCCCACATTATTGGTCTGCCTGGATGGGTCCTCAGACTCCCATGTGGACAATTTTGAATTCTGGATATGGAATATTCAACCTCTACTGTGAAATGTACATAGATTTTAATTTTAAAATTTTTAAAATTAGAATGAAGTCATTGTCAATTGTTTTTTTTAAAAAAAAATAACAATAAATGATAACAATTTAGCCTCACACTCTGTTATAGGTGTCAAAATCTCTTTCTAAAAACTACCCTGAGTCCCACTGAGGAATAGGGTGGGATAGAAATAACATTTATTATTATTTTTATTCCCTTCAGTGTGAACACAGTTTAAGTAATTTAATCTGTTTGGTGCTATGATCTTATTAGGAACTACTACTGGATTTTCGTAAGAGCTGAGCTAGCTTATTATTATTATTATTATTATTATTATTATTGGATGTAGAGAAATTAAGTTTTTGCTATGGTATCAAAACATTTTCGTCAGAAGAAAGGAAGAAAAAATACTATACTGAAAAACAGTGGTTAAAATCACCCATTGCCTACAGATTTTATAATAACCATTTCACTAATTGAGGGCTGTGACAGTGAATGCAGGGCTGGAGGCTGCAAGTTCTTGGTAGATGTAAAGGAAAGTTGTCCCAGAGAGGTCACAGGCTCATACCTTCCTCTCTCTTAGTTATTTCTTTCTCTTTCACACATAAACAATCTCCAAATACACACTGTTCCATTCAGTCACAGTTTCACCTCACAAACCTGTTGATTCCACAAGCTGTGACTTAATTACACTTGCCCCTCACTCCCACCCCAAGTCAACCAAATGGAGAAGATGGGGTTAGTTTAAATAGGGAAAACACAGCATGAGGATGTCTCTCATTATGTACCCATATACTCTAACACGATTATGACACATGCAGTGGTAGTATGGGCTTTGGCTTCCACTATGTGGCTGGAACACTTAACTCGCAAACTTTAACTTGTGAACATACAATCAGACCAGTTCTATAAAGTAGTAAATATCCTCGGCTACAATAAATTTAAGTTCAAACCAAAATGCTGTATGCTTACATAGAATCAGAGTTTTTTGGAGGGTAGAAAAGATTTACACACTTTAAAAACTTCTGCAGAAACATTAAAATACAACCATGAAATAATTAAAATACAACCATGAGGTAATTAAAAATGACAGATATAAAAGGTTGCAGAATATTGCAGAACACAAGACTTCGTAAAACTGGCAGGATAAATGCTTTGATTCAGTGTTTGTCCTTTGTTGCAATAGCTCTGAAGGAAAAAAAATCAATTTTTCCATTTTATTGTGCGCATAGTTAACTGGACAGGGCACAAGATAAAGTATGTACTTTAGAGCTTTGGAAGATAATAAGCAAGCAATCATTCATACTAATACAATTGTCAAGAAATTGTAATAGAAAAACATTCAGTTTGAAAAAAAATACTGATTTGGGGTTCACATTAGCAACATTTATTTCTAAGAAGTCCCTCCTACATCAAAATAACCTATTTATTATTCTGAAAATGCTGCCATCTAGTGGATTTAAAATAGTTTTCTATAGAACATCAAATTAATTCACTCACTTATTCAGAGCAGTGTGATATAGGTTATTAACAATGGAATTGTGTTCAGCTATGAAAGTCAACAAATGCAACTTGTGCTGCTACTGTTTGGTGAATCAAGAATCACAGAATAGGGCAAACAACTGATCTAGGTAGAAAGATCAATGACCCAAATCTTTTCTATGAAATTGGCAGCCTACATAATCAACTCTAGCCACATAACTGGATCAATGGATGGTATTCTAGTTGCATAGGAGCTGCCCATGTAATTCCAAATTGCACAAAGCAGAGAGATTTTGCATAGGGCACCATCTCCCCCAAGCAACAAACATAATTTTTAATCTCTCAGAGGATTCACTTTCCATATGGCTATGTGCTTTGATATTATATTGAGAAGTCTCATTGCATCTCCAAATATTGTTTTGCTTTTTTTTAAAAAATCCACAACATGAATAGAACATCTGAGATAATAAAGTTACAGAAAGGGATTTTCCACATTAGTCTTAACATAAAACGCAAACCATTTCTACTTCCTCTCATTCCACACTTTCCCCAAGAACTTACCCAGACAACATTTCAAATATCAGAATCCCCAGGGCCCACCAGTCCACTGCTCTTCCATGACCTTTACTCTGTATAACTTCTGGGGCAAGATATTCTGGAGTCCCACACAAGGTCCATGTCCTAAAAAAAACAATGACCAGGAAACTGAAATTTAAATTTTATAACAAGTGAGTTCACAAAACACAAACCCTTCCAAAACATAAAGAAAAAAACAATCATAATAATTCAGAAAGTTCTAAGATTTATGGACATTATAGTCACATGGCAGCACTCCAGTATAGGTATAGATTGTTTGATTACTTACAAAAACAAAATGAGGAGACTTTAGAGCATTTACAAATGGAAGAACTAGAAGGGTTTGCAGCATGAGCCATTGGGATATGTCCCCACCAAACTAGTAAAAGAACATTAGTCACATCACCACAGGTGAAAACAAAACAAAAACCTCTTTAAAGGACTGTCAAATGAACCAGAAGGTGCAGAGTAACCATTTACAAATAGCCACATATTGTTAGAAATGATTCATAACAAGCCTGAGATAAAAACAATCCATTTAGAGTTGCAAAGAGCCCCCGGTGGCGCAGTGGGTTAAAGCACTGAGCTGCTGAGCTTGTTGATCGAAAGGTCACAGGTTTGATTCCGGGGAGCGGCGTGAGTTTCCGCTGTCAGCCCTAGCTTCTGCCAACCTAGAAGTTCAAAAACACGCAAATGTCAGTAGATCAATAGGTACTGCTCCGGCGGGAAGGTAACGGCGCTCCATGCAGTCATGCCGGCCACATGACCTTGGAGTTGTCTATGGACAATGCTGGCTCTTCGGCTTAGAAATGGAGATGAGCACCACATCCCAGAGTCAGACATGACTGGACTTAATGTCAGGGGACTACCTTTACCTTTACCTAGAGTTGCAAACTGGCAGAATGTCCCCAAAACCAACTACTGACTAATTTTAACATGATGTTCTTAAGCAGCAGTAAACTCAATGTCATTTCTAGTTTGTTTACACCTTAATAGTACTAAACCAAAGGTACTCTGAACTTAATTCACGTTGACCTGAATACAAGGGGAGAAGATATGTTAAAGTATAATGCAAGCATTGAATCATTTCTGAAGACCATGTGGGGCAAAGCTGGCTTGCACATCAAGTCCCATATGAGGCACAACAACATGAGGAGGCATGTAAAAACTGGAATAATTGTTTGGAATTGAAATGTGCTTGGTTAAGCTCTCTAACTCAAATGACCTTCAGGTTATGCAAAGTCTTGTTATATATTTGGAGTTGTCCTCTTTCTGCCCTCTATTTTAATGATCTTTATAATGTATGGGAAAGCTAAAAAAGCTTTCTCTCCCAGAAGGCTTTGGTGCTGAAAGCAAATCAGATAATGGTACAGCAGCATGGCTGAAACAGGAGCCAGCATCAATAGGGAAAACATCTAAAACCTGTAATGTTTCTAAAATGATGGGGCAAGCACTTACTGTGGCCAAGACCAGGCATTGAGCAGGTAGAGGAGATTGTTCCTGGACAGAAAAGACAAACCACAGTTTTTTCCAGCTTCTGTCAAGTCTGCTAGGGGCCCCTGTTTCCACCACTGCTTACCAGTGGGAAGGAAGGGAGAAGAAGCAATTGTGAAGGAAAAGTAGCTGGTTTAGGCTAGGACATGTGTAAACCACACTTACATGTGTATATGTCAGCAGCATACCACCCTGAGTTCCTAGGTGAATTGATGAGACTTTGCCTATGAGTAAATGTCACCAAAATATAAGCAAATTTTGGATACTTCCAAACTATTTATCACTACTATGGAACAGGGATCCCTCAGAAACAAATGGAATCTGGAGGGAGACACATTCAGATGTCTTAATGTATTGTGCTGTAAGAATTGTTCCATATCTTAAAAAACAAAACAAAAACAAAACTCTTCACTGTTAAGAAATGTAACTGAAGGATTATACTTAGGAAAGGGCTATACTTCAGGATCAGATGAAAATATAAGAAAAATGAGGGGTCTGCAACTGAAAGAATATCTATTCATTTCATGTATGGTATCTCACTGTACTTGCCACCAAAACAATAAACAAATATAGATATTTTGACATGTTTTTGTTGGACAGAATGTGAACAATTATTAATATGCATTGCATGCAAATATATTGGTGCAAAGGATTGAGGTCTCATTGCTATCACATTACAACTACTCTAAATTCAATCACCATATTTTCTTTAAAGTTTTGTAATACAATAAATACAGTTATGTTGTCCAAGTCATTTGCATCAGATTGTAGCTGAAATAATCACACCACACAGCTGCATTTTAATTTCAAAAACTCAGTTTCAGAAGACAATAATATAAATAGGTTTTTGATTAACACAACTCAAACAAAAAAAGAAAAACATAAAAGTATCTGTTCATACTTCATTAAACATTAGGTCCAATATTTTAAAATAGGAAATTTTTATTTCATTTCATTTCTTGTTTCTCTACTGAAACTCTGTACTCTAGTGCCATCTAGCAACAAGGGTGATGATGACTGAGACTTCATTTTTAATACACAATATTTATTGTTATCAGCCATTCCTGAAGTTTTAAAATAAGCTGATGTTTGAATATAAAGACATACATCATGAATTTGAAACATGATGTCTTAGCAGTACTAATGTTTTAGTTACAGCCATAATACCACACCACTTTGAAAACCACTCTACACCATTGCATAGGGAATTAACTTCACCATAAATTGGTCATGTGACAGGTTTACCATGTAGTCAATAAGGTATTCTTCTGAAAATCAAGGAATATCCAGATCAGAAGGCCTGAAAGGTGCAGATCATATTGTTTTGCGACACGATTACTATCCCCCCCCCCCAAAAAAAACCTTTCATATTTGGATATTTTTGTTGCATTCTGTTCAAAGTATACAGTTTGTGGAGCTGCAGGGAGAAAGCAAGAATATTGGTGCTGTGCTGGACAATTAAGATGTTCCTAATTGGATTAAGACATGCTGAGGCAAGTTACTTGCAAATGTGCAACTTGACATCTAGAGGGTTCCCCCCCCCCAAATCTTCTGACATGCTTTCATAGAGCCTGAAGCTCTAAACTAGGCATCCTCAAACTGCAGCCCTCCAGCTGTTTGAGCCTTTAACTCTCAGAATTCCTGACAATTGAACAAGCTCATTAGGGCTCCTGGGAGCAGTTGGAGGTCCAAACTGCTGACGGGCCGCAGTTTGAGGATGCCTTCTCTAAACTGTACTATGCTTAGCATGCACTACCCATAACCACCCACTACAAAAGCAACAGCCCCCAGCTTTGTTTCTAACTTGTATCTGGAAAGGTGAAGGGCTCATCTGCTTCACTACATGAAGCTCTCTGAGGCTTAGTACATCTGCTGGAGGAGACCATCCATTCCTTCATTCAGCTCTAAGTCAGAGGGGAAAGACTGGAATTTCTTTCATTTTCCTTGACAAAGAATGATGAAACATTCTTTGCAATAAGTAGGGAAGGTGAAAGAAGGAAAAATGTGGACTCCTGGACAACTCCAAATTGGCACAGTTAATAAACTCTGTTAGCAGAACTAAATGTATTGTGTAATGGAACGGAGGAAAGGAAGTAGTCTCTAAGGTATACAGAACACAAATAATTCATTGTTTTTTAAACTGTCTGATAAGCTTGTCATAGAAACAGCACCAAGTAAGCAACAAAAAAGGACAAAAAGTATGATTTCAAATATTTGAAACATGATGAAACATGATGAAACAGTTATAAATAGCTGGCCATTTTAAAATAAAATACTCTTTTTTATGGGCTGAGACTTGAGAAACTTAGCAGCAAACATGAAGAACTTTCCTGTGATCTTGTGATAAGGAAATGTCATAAAATAACAGGAAAGATAATTTAATGTTGAATTTTTCCAAAGGACCATCTCTTGAAGTAATGGGGTACCATCTACTCACAAAATATTAAATTCATTTCCACTCAGTTCTGGGCTTTGCAATCTCTTCCTTTGTATGTTTATGTGCCTTAAAGTCACCTGTTGACTTACAGAGGCGCTATCAATTTAATAAAGTTTTCTTAGTGAAGGAAACTCAGAGGTGGTTTTCTCAGTTTTATCCTCTGAAATATAGCCTACAACATCTAATATTTGTTTGTGGTCTTGCACCAAAGTACTAAACAGAGCTGGTTCTGCTTAGCTTATAAATTCAGATGAGATCTGGTGCATTTAGAAATGTCACAAGACAACTGAGAGATAGTGAATATGTTGATGTAATGCATCCTCTCTAGAGAATTAGGATGCAGACTGTGTATCCTAGTCTTGTCTAGGATTCAACTTACTAGTCTATGCTCACTTGCCAGCCATGGTTAGACTAAGACTGAAGGACTTGGATCACAAGCAGATCAGAGACACGGCATCATCAGCATCGTGCTCCAGAGTGATCTCAGCTCACATGCTAGACTCAGTGTTATGTCAACAGCTAGAAGCAGTTCCCTGGCATAGTCATGCTGGTAATGTCTTTTCTGCTGGTCACATAGCTGGGTGTCCTGTTATGACCTCATCAGAAGTGATATATCCAGCAATGCTCTGTCAAGGAGTTGCTTTTGAATTGTGAAACAGCAGCAGCCCCAAAGTTCTCTCAGTCTGGATGGCCATGTGGACACTTGCTGCACCAGGGATAGCTCTAAAGCACTGTATTCCAGATTATTTTGGTAGACACAGAGATGCAGTTGACCATGTTTCCAGCAATACCTGGACTTACTTAACAACCATTAATTCAAAAACTTTTCCCTAAAAGAGATATTTGGAAATAGGACTGCAGCAAGCTGAAAAATCTAGATTCAGACTTTATTTTAAAAAAGTAGAACCTACCTTCTATAGAATGAGGCCATCCCTTTGAAGATTTCCCTAATCAGTAGTTTGGTGTGATTGGTGGGGATGAGAGAAAGGGCCTTCTCAGTGATTGCCCTCTGGCTATGGGACTCCCTTCCTGGTGAGATCAAATCAGCCCCCTCTCCCCTGTCCTTTAGAAAGATGGTAAAAACTTAGCTGTGGGACCAAGCTGTTGGGACAGTGCAATAAAGCAGCAATACCTTACCAGGCCAATTAGATTAGATGCAGATGATTAAGATGGT